CAACTTGGGGCCCAACTTTCTGGGCTGGCCGGCCACGCGCCGCAGGTGTCTTGCGCAGGTTTGGTTGGTGTGGTGTTGTGTTGTGGGGCTAGCCAGCCATGCAACATGTCAAGAATCATGCGTTGATTTTGCTTGGTTCTCAGGAAGTATACTATCTTGACCCGAGATGCTTCTTGCTTTCTGGATTTTGACAAGCTGTGGGGCATACAGAAGATGTACCAGAAGCCAGCTATGACGAGTGAATGTTTCCAGTGTGCTCCCAAGGCTTGGGTCAGTCATGCTAGCCACGCAAACACATGAGCTTATATTTTTGTGAACATGTAATCCATGGACTTGGTCTTGTCCTCCAGGAGCTGGTTGATGCGTGCAGAAGTGCACAGTGCCAAAAAATGAAGGCTGCAAAGAATACTCCCTTTCGCCGCCTGCTTGCAGGCCTGAACAAGGTGTTGCGCTTCACTCATGCCGCCTCATGTTGCTGACCTGTATTTCACACATTGCATTCATGCTAGGGTTTAGCTGGAATTGTGGCCCAGCTATCGCTTGTCTGGTCAGGTGCAAAGCCTGTGTGGCTTGAAAAGTATCGCTCGAATCCGAAGGCGCGAAGGGCCTTCCAAGCGGGATGGCCAGTGTTTGCGAATTTGGAACAAAATCCATCGTCAAGACCCATTATCAGTCGATACCTGCCATGCCTGCTCCGATCGGGGCTGCTTTGGCTCCTGAAGCCGGGCGAGGACGAGGAGCAGCTTGATAATGAGCGCCCGCTCACGGGGCAGGACTGATCACTGTTGTCATGACTCCTGCGTAGCTCATCATCGCATGTGCTGTCAGCGCTTCTGCCAGGAGCACATGCAGGCGATGGCCATTCCAATGATGGACGAGCTTGTGTGCGCCCACAGTGTCTACCCGCATTTTCGCGGGACAGCTAGCCAGGCAGAATTGAAGAAGCTAGCTGGCAACGTGTCTTGGCCTCATACGCATGGTGTTTGCCAGTTTTGGGAGTGTAGGGTTGTGGGCCTGAAGTTGACTGCGTATGATGTAAGGCGATGCATGCAGCGTGTGTCGGCGCTGTGTGGACGACGGTTCTCAGCTGCTTGTGCGTCAAGTGACCCGCGAAAACCAGCTCGCGGCATGGGCAAACACATGTGTTGCATCACGCTCAGTACAGGTCTGCTGCTTTATGTGCACTTGATCCCGAGCTGTGTTTGATACGTT